GGTGTGTAGTTGATGAGCGTTGAGTGTGTATGAGGTGTGTTTGAGAGTGTGTGTGTGTGTGTGTGTGCGAGAGTGAGTGTGTATGTAGAGCTCCTCTTCATCCTCAGAGATGAAGGTAGAGTTCGCTCCTCTGCATGTTCCTCTGCGCAGGCGCATTCAGACAGCAGCAGTTCTGCAGTGGGTCTTCAGCTTCTTGGCTCTAGGTGAGTGTCTCATATCATCATTAATAATATAATAATGTTCTGTAGAATTAAGGAATGATGAACATATTTATATCTGCAAAGATACGTGTTTTTCCAACGTTATCTTGTGTGTCTGTTTTGTTCTGTTTGTCAGTAGAGCAAAAGCTTTGGCCATGATTTCATATTAAAAAAGTATTATTTAAAAGTGGATATTTGTAAATCAGATTTCTTTTTCTAATAAGCAGCTGCATTGTATTTTATCCCAAAATCAAAGGATTTTGCATTAACACGTGACTTAACCATGATATGCACAGTTGTATTATTCACTCGACTCGACGGTACAGTTATGCCTTTTACAGGAAACCATTGTCATGAAAATAACTTCACAATGCAAAATAAATGATTATTTTAAAGTGGATATTTGTAGAAATAGACTTTCTCTTTCTAATATGGTGAATCTTAAGCAGAAGCGTCATATTTTATATTGTCTAAAGTAAATACTGGCTACAAGTTTATGCATTTACGACACTAGGCAATTAAGTTGAAAAAAGTAAATTAAATCAAATTAAGTTAGAATTATATTTTTACATATTGCACTAGACTAGATAATTGTTATGAAAACAAATTCGCAGTGCAAAAAAGTACCATATTAATATTTTATTCTGTAATACTGCTTTAGTGAGAATAAAGAGAAATACAGAAACAAAATAAAAACTTAAATGACTTAATTACATTATTGATAATTTGTGAGGTTAATCTGCTTATTTATCCTGAAATACTGGTATGTTTTTTTTCTCTCTCATATTACAGTGGACATGATTGTCATGAAAATAACTTCACGATGCAAAATAACCCCTAAAATAATGTTTTATCTTATTGAATTAGAGTGAAATATAGGCCAGACTTCTTGATCGTTCGACCTTGAACACCGGGATAGAAACTTTCATCCACAATAACATGACGTGAATCTGGAGCTCGGTGTGTTTGGTGATCAGAACTGAACCTGAAACCATTAAAGCGCCAGCGGTCAGTCCGTCCACAGCAACATTAGTTACATTGTGTGTCTGAACTGTCTAAATGTTTGACATGAGTTCAAACACACTAATAAACACACATCGCTCTAGAGTTCAGTCACACTGTTCGCCTGTGATAAATCATAAACACACACACACACACACTCGTCTCTCTGTCTCCAGCTCAGGTCTGTCTGGCTGCGTTCGTGCTCTTGTGTGTCAGTGATTGGTGGATTCTGGGAGCGCTGTACGCTGGTTGGCTGTATCTGGACAGGGACACGCCCTCATGTGGGGGTCGGAGGTCACAGTGGGTCAGAAGCTGGCGCATGTGGATGTATTTTCGGGAATATTTCCCCATCACAGTGAGTTTATACGAGCATTTGTTCAGTGAATGATTCACACTTGACGTGCTTTTGTAGCATTTTTCAGTAATCATCAAAAAATAGGTATCATGTCAACGCCCAAACACTGAAAATTCATACAAAATTGATCGCGTTATCATTGAAACTGTACTTTAATACATTTAAGCAGGTTCCTCCCCCTAGTGGGCGGTGTCATGTTTCAAATTATACATAATTTACTGCACTATTTTATTTATTAGTTAAAATCACCTGAATGTATTTTAGAATTTCTATCTTGTATTAACCTGAAATGTTGTATATAGTTAATTGGATGAATTATGTTGTTTATTCTGTTTTCGCTATGAAAATAGCCTTGTTGCTGATATGGCATAAATAAATAATAAATACATTGATAGTCAAATCGTTTTCTAATTTCGACTAAACGCATATCATTGGAAAGGTCTGAGACTCGAGGTTCATATTTGGTGACTGTTTTGTGATATTAAAGTGATATTGTGACTGAAATGTATTAATTTGTGAAAGGAGAACACGTTTCAAAACTATTTAAATCGCGTGTTTGCCGCCCGGTGGCTATTTTTGGGACAGCGCCTGAACAAAATCTCACAGGAACGTCAATTTTTCTGATATTAACCTCAAATTTGGAGCACTAAAACTAACGTTTTGCCACACCTGCCAATGGCCATGACACTGTTTTTGCAAAAACTGGCAGAATTGACTCCAAAATATTTGATACCAGTTAAAAAAACTCACGATTATCTACTTCAGTTTCGATACCATAGCTAAAATTACTTAAAAAATTACTTAAAGACAAATAAACAGTCAATAATAAAATAATAACAAATAATCAAATAACAAACAAAAGCACAAATAAATACAATATAACTAATGAAATAAACAGTGCTTGATGAACAGTGCTTCAAGAGCAGTGAGTGGTTTTGTCTCTTTTGTTGTTTGATTAACATTAAACACACACACAGCAGGCATATTAGGCTACTGTCTCTTCAAGAGTGAATGCAAGGGCCACGGATCCAATGTACTGATACTGAGTGTGCGTTTCCTTTCTCAACAGTTTACGTTCACTTAACACATAACCGACTGTGTTTACTAGCATACTCACTGTTTTTGGCATTATTTTGTGTAACCGAGACGTGAAAGAGTGTTAAAGGGGTCATATAATGCCATTTTTGTACAAGCTAATATGATTCTTTAGGGTCTAAATTAAAAGTTTGTAAAATACTTTAATTAAAAATTCTCATTAGTATTGTAAGAAAACACTTATTTTACCTGGTCAAAAACAGCTCTGTTTTCAGCACGCCGTTTCAGTGCATATGCCTTTAAATGATCATGAGCTTTGCTGACTCCGCCCCTCTGTTCTGTGCCATAAACCGTTTGTAACACAATAACACAATAACCATAACGCGTTGTTCAGTATAAACGTGGAATTATGAATTATATTGAGAACGTCATACATAGAAAACATGCCGTAATGTACCCTGAGTGAGTGTAAACCTTAGACGCATTCATTGTGAAGCGTGCAGCTAGCGATTTGCAAAGATTAATATATTAATATAAAGTTTAATAAAACGTTTCACTCACTTCCGTTCTTCTGGAGGTTCAGCAGGAACACGAATATCTGGTACCGATCCTTTTTAGCAAAGCTTCTTAGCAAATCCAGCTTTATACTGACCCTCGTTTATAAAGCAGTCTGGTGAGAAATGATTTGCGCAAACATGAGAGCATTGACGTTGCTCGTGGGGAATATTCCCTTCGAGAACAAACTCAGCCACTGCGTCTTCAGCGGTTCGGATTCAGGAACATTAAAATGACTGTGTTCGTTATTACACCCAAGAACAGAACACCACAATCGCTTAGACGCCATTCTGCTCATAGACAGTGCTCCAGCATATCAACGATGACCGCGCCGGTCCGGTCCGCGCCGCGCAGACTATGATTGACAGCTACCTCATGTGCGAGGGCGGGTCTGTGTTGAAACGCTCCCGTCAATCAACAATCGTGGGAGGGGCGTCCGTTTTATTGACGTCACAAAAACGAACGGCTGGATTTGAGGCAGGAGAAAACATATAAGGAGATTAAAACAAAACCACTGGATGGATTTTTATCATTATATGATGGTTGTGTACAGGCACTGCCAACACACATTTCAGTACAATCAACTTGTAAAAGTGCATGTACCATTATACGACCCCTTTAATTTTAGGCCCTGGACATTTGGCTTTGATTTTAGAGTCCAAATTATTTAGTAAAATATATATTTTGTATATAAATATAAACTTTTTTTACTTTGACTGCTTCTCTTCTACAATAATCTGAGATGAATCGAGCCCGAGGTCTGTTTCCCAGCATGCCAGATCTGTGTTCAGTGAACGGCTTTCGCTTCTTCGTCTCTCTAGCTGGTGAAGACAGCGGATCTGGACCCTCGGAATAATTACCTGTTCGGGTTTCATCCTCACGGAGTGCTGGTGGCCGGGGGATTCGGGAACTTCTGCACGGAAGCGTCCGGATTCTCCCAGATGTTCCCGGGACTCACGCCGTACCTGCTGATGCTGCCCTTCTGGTTCAGAGTCCCCTTCTTCAGAGAATACATCATGTGCGGAGGTGTGTGTGTGTGTGTGTGTGTGTGTGTGTGTGTGTGTGTGTTGACTGTATAGTGTGACTGTATAGTGTGTGTGTGTTGGCTGTATAGTGTGTGTGTGTTGACTGTATAGTGTGTGTGTGTGTTGACTGTATAGTGTGTGTGTGTGTGTTGACTGTATAGTGTGTGTGTGTGTGTGTGTGTGTGTGTGTGTGTGTGTGTGTGTGTGTGTGTGTGTGTTGACTGTATGTGTTGAGTATAGTGTGTGTGTGTGTGTGTGTGTTGAGTATAGTGTGTGGGTTGACTGTATGTGTTGAGTATAGTGTGTGTGTTGACTGTATAGTGTGTGTGTTTACTGTATAGTGTGTGTGTGTTTACTGTATTGTGTGTGTGTGTGTGTGTGTGTGTGTGTGTGTTTGCCCTTGATGTTTATCCTTGTTGTGTAATGAGATGTTGTGAAAGTGTTTTGTGGAAATGCCTGAACCAGAACCAAGTAGGTGATACAGCCACACACACACACACACACACACAAGCTTTTGTCAGCAGAATGAATGTTTCGTATGTTCCTGTGGTAACACTTTACCAGAAGATCTCATTAGTTAACATATGATGATCTAAATATGAGAGATATATACATTTGACAGAATTTATTCATCTTTGTTAAAGTTTAATATTAAATAGTTTGTTCGTGTTAGTTAACTAACATTAACAAATACAAGTTTTGATTTTAAAAATGCATTAGTAGAAATTAACATTAATATTAAGAAATGCTGTAGAAGTATTGCTCATTGTTAGTTCATCTTAACTAATATAGTTTACTAATGTTAATTACTGTAAAGTGTTACTTTTCATGGAGATTTTGCAGGCGGCAAAAATAACTAAAATATAGAAACTAGGGCTGTTAAAGTTAATAGACTTGATTAATAAAACAAAATCAAAATAATAACTATATATATATATATATATATATATTATACTTTCAGCTGTATAGCTGAAAGAAGCAAAAGTCTGTTATTAATATTTTTTAATTGTTTAATTATTTTTTTGTCATTTTAAGGTTAAGGTTAAGGTTATTGTAGGCCTATCAACTCCTCAAGGACATTTTTAAAAAAAAATTGTAGGACAACTTTGTTTTAAATAATTATATATATATATATGTGTGTGTGTGTGTGTGTGTGTGTATATATATATATATATATATATATATATATATATATATATACATTTATTGTAAAGTACCAAGTCTTTTTTTTTTTTGTAATACTGTTAAAAAAAGTGTTTTTTTGAGAATGCGAAATACAGAAACAAAAAAACACATTATTTGTGAGTTTAAATGTGCTTATTTACTGGTGTAAGTGAAAGAAATGAATGTAAAAGCACAAGTGTCAGTAGACGTGATGTGTGTTGAGTCTCCCCAGTGCCGGTGTTTCTTCAGCCGAGGGTCAGTGTGTGCCAGAGTTCACACAGGAACAGTGTCACGGGTTGATTGTGTAAATCAGTGAAAGAGATTCTACGCAGAAGATATGATATGATCTGTGGACTTTCTGCTCCTCCTCGTCCACCTCACTCTCTCCCCGCTGATACACTGGGAAGATTCGAACACCGAACCGAGAGTCTTCGTTCCTTCACTTTATGAACAACTCTTTGTTCAGAATGGCTGTTTCCATCCGTATTTTATGCAAATGTTTGGATATAGAGTAAAAATATTACTCTATAATTTATATATTTAACTCTAATACTCTATACTCTATATATTACGCAATATTCAAAAAAAAATATTACACAAGTATAATACGCAACTTTGTATGGAAACAGCTGATGACATGCCTGATTTGTTCACTTCGTTTGTGATGAAACTGCTTCATTTTGGAGTTTTTTTAAATTCACAACTTTAGATGGAAATATAGCTGACATCCTCGTTCGTTCAGTTTGTTCCTGATGAAAAAGTGCTTTTTGGGCAAATATTTTACGCGATTTTATTTTCGTACATATTTAATTCACATCTTTAAATGGAAACAACTACTGATATGCCTTTTTACTTTCCTTTTTTTGTTATGAAACTGCTTTATCCGCAAAGTTTTTATGCGATATTTTAATTTTTTCGCACAAGTTTACTTGCCATCTTTCTTTAGATAGGAACAGATAATGACATCACGTTCGTTCAGTTTGTTCGTGATGAAAAAGAGCTTTTTTTAGCAAATATTTTACGCGATTTTATTTTCGTACATATTTAATTCACATCTTTAAATGGAAACAACTACTGATATGCCTTTTTACTTTCCTTTTTTTGTTATGAAACTGCTTTATCCGCAAAGTTTTTATGCGATATTTTAATTTTTTCGCACAAGTTTACTTGCCATCTTTCTTTAGATAGGAACAGATAATGACATCACGTTCGTTCAGTTTGTTCGTGATGAAAAAGAGCTTTTTTTAGCAAATATTTTACGCGATTTTATTTTCGTACATATTTAATTCACATCTTTAAATGGAAACAACTACTGATATGCCTTTTTACTTTCCTTTTTTTGTTATGAAACTGCTTTATCCGCAAAGTTTTTATGCGATATTTTAATTTTTTCGCACAAGTTTACTTGCCATCTTTCTTTAGATAGGAACAGATAATGACATCACGTTCGTTCAGTTTGTTCGTGATGAAAAAGTGCTTTTTTAGCAAATATTTTACGCGATTTTATTTTCGTACATATTTAATTCACATCTTTAAATGGAAACAACTACTGATATGCCTTTTTACTTTCCTTTTTTTGTTATGAAACTGCTTTATCCGCAAAGTTTTTATGCGATATTTTAATTTTTTCGCACAAGTTTACTTGCCATCTTTCTTTAGATGGGAACAGATAATGACATCACGTTCGTTCAGTTTGTTCGTGATGAAAAAGTGCTTTTTTAGCAAATATTTTACGCGATTTTATTTTCGTACATATTTAATTCACATCTTTAAATGGAAACAACTACTGATATGCCTTTTTACTTTCCTTTTTTTGTTATGAAACTGCTTTATCCGCAAAGTTTTATGCAATATTTTAATTTTTTCGCACAAGTTTACTTTCCATCTTTCTTAAGATGGGAACCGATAATGACATCACGTTCGTTCAGTTTGTTTTTGATGGGAAAAAGGTGCTTTTTTCGTTAATATTTTATGCGATATTCCAATTTTCGCACAAGTGTAATTCGCAACTTTGAATGTAAATATAGCCAACGACATGCCTCATTTATTCAGTTTGTTATAAAACCGTGCTTTATTTGCAAATGATTTATGTGATATTACAATTTTTTTAAATTTAATTCGCAACTTTGTATGGAAACAGCTAATGAAATCACGTTCGTTCAGTTTGTTGAAAAGGTGTTTTTTATGCGATATAAAAAATTTTCGCACGTGTAATTTGAAATATAGCTAAAGAAATGCTGCATTTATTCAGTTTGTGATCAAACCGTGCTTTATTTGCAAATGTTTTATGTGATATTCCAATTTTTCCCAGTTTACTTCGCAACATTGTATGGAAACCGCTAATCACGTGCCTCATTCGTTCAGTTTGTTGTTGATGGGCGGGTTTCTATTCGGTAAGGTTGTCCCTGTAGTGAAGGTGCGACTGAACCATGGACGACGCCCCTTCACTCTCTTCCATTGGTGAACAGTGAAGCCGCCAAAGTCCTGATATGGCGCTGACACCTTGCACTGATTTGGGACCTGATTCTGCCCAGTAGTGAGCGTGAGTCGCGATATCAAGGTCCCGCCTTCACTCCCGCAATAACGGTTCATACAAAGTTCACTGCGTGAAATAAACAGTTATGGACATCCAATTTTTTCCCCCAAAAAGTCTGTTGGTAACTCAGTAACTTCTTTTAGAGAAGCTGTCAATCACAGCTGTCAATCATGACGTCACATTCCCATTTTTATAGCAACAAATAATGAACTAAGATTCTTGGTCTGAACCTTGACCTCTGACCCTGACCTCTGACCTCTGCAGGGCTGGTGTCGAGTGAGAAGGCCAGTGCGAGTCACCTGTTGAGTCATCCCGGTGGAGGTCAAGCCGCCGTGATCGCAGTGGGAGGAGCTCCGGAGTCTCTCGATGCGCGACCGGGAGCTGTAACGCTTCAGCTGATGCAGCGCAAAGGCTTCGTTAAACTGGCCCTCAAACACGGGTGTGTGTGTGTGTGTGTGTGTGTGTGTCAGTGTGAGTCTGTATGTGTGTGAGTGTCTGGAGGCGTTTGTGTGTCAGTGTGAGTCTACAGTATGTGAGTCTGTGTGTGTGTGAGAATGCGTTTGTGTGTCAGTGTGAGTCTACAGTATGTGAGTTTGTGTGTCAGTGTGAGTCTGTTTGTGTGTGAGAGTGTGTTTGTGAGTCTGTGTGTGTGTGTTTGTGTGTCAGTGTGTGTGTGCGTTTGTGTGTCAGTGTGAGTCTGTGTGTGTGTGTGTGTGTGTGTGTGTGTGTGTGTGAGTGTCTGGAGGCGTTTGTGTGTCAGTGTGAGTCTACAGTATGTAAGTCTGTGTGTGTGTGTGAGAGAGAATCTCCTGGGTTTGATCACTGAACGCTGTTTCTCGTGTGTGTAGAGCGTGGCTGGTCCCCGTCTTCTCGTTCGGGGAGAACGAGCTGTTTGATCAGATGGAGAACCCCACAGGCTCCGCCCTCCGGCGCGTGCAGGACCGCCTCCAGAGGATGATGGGCGTGGCCATGCCTCTGTTCCACGCCAGGGGGGTTTTCCAGTACAGCTTCGGCCTGCTGCCCTACCGGAAGCCCATACACACCGTGGGTGCGTACACACACTCAGCCCATACACACACTCAGCCATACACACACTCAGCCCATACACACACTCAGCCCATACACCTGTACCTGTACACACACTCAGCCCATGCACCTGTACCTGTACACACACTCAGTCCATACACCTGTACCTGTACACACACTCAGCCCATACACACACTCAGCCCATACACACACTCAGCCCATACACACACTCAGCCAGGGATGTAGTGGAGGCTAAACGCACGTAAACGCCGTTTACGCACCTCCCAATATTCGGAAATAGCGTTTACCCACCTCCAAACTGCGTTTATCCACCTCTAAATTGCGTTTATCCACCTCTAAATCGCTATAAATTAAGCTTATGTCGTTTTAGTTATTGTTAATTATTAGTTTCATAGGTTGTTAAACCTAAGACGAACTCTTTCATATTGCGCTGCATTACTGTCAGTGTTGTTGCTACTGATGGTGGTGGTGTTGACGCTCGCGCAGCCTCTCGAGGAGAAATCTACACAAATGAGCGCACACACACACTCAGTTAACAACATACTGCCTATAAAAAATCTAAATGTGGAGTTTTTATATGTTTAACATATGTTAAGCAACCTCAATTATTTTTCCTGAACACCATCACGATTGAAAATGTGACATTGATTTCTTACAACAGTTCAATAAACAGTTAAAATTAAGTCACTTACATTTTAGATGCAATATTGGCTGTTTTTGTTCTGTTTCAGCAGCGAAAATAGTTCCAAACAAAAATCACAGCAGAACACGGCGCATCTCACAGGAACACTCAACACAGGTTGCGATTTTTCGAGGCTATGCGATTTTTCATTACTGAATGATTCATCATTTTGAACAAATCGATTGAGTCAAAGATTCAATGACCCATTCATAAACATCTCAATCTTGAATGAATCAGCCGTTTGAATAAATTGTTTGAATGAATGAATCAGTGACTCGCTCATTAAGACGGTCCCCTGCCGCCACCTACTGGCGGTTTCGTGTTATGTTTAAAAGTAGATCATTCTTTCCAACGTTTCTTATTTGTAAATTTAAATCAATTTCATATCATTATTTTATGCAATTGTAATTTTTCAGTGTAAATGATTTAATTTGATCAGCCCTATAGTGTCTTATTATTCGAAATAATTGAATTTTATTGATCAAATTTAGGAATTTAAAATGAAAGATGAAGCATACATTTAATAATATTGGGGGAGGGGATGCCCTTTAAAGGTGCAAATATTACAATATGCCGATTTAAATATCAAAGCTAATTGAACACTGATGAGAATATTGTTTCAGAATAAATTAACACACACAAAAAAAAAAAAAAAATCCGGACGAGAAACTTTTACTCGGACAAGTGAATGACAGATTTACTTGTCCGAAGGACAAGCGTATGAAAAGGCTTAATGTCGAGCCCTCCCTATAGCAATGTCATCAGGAGATACACATACACCGGTAGGCAGTGGCCCACCTTACCGGGTGACCACGTCGTGGTCCACCACCAGAATTTATAGTTTACCCACCTCTTTTTTTACCACTACACCTCTGCACTCAGCCCATACACACACTCAACCCATACACACATACACACACACTTACACCTGAGGTTGTGTTGTACAGCACATCTAGATGTTTCTGGTGCTCTTTGTGTGTCGGTCAAAAAAAAAAAATTGATTTCAATGACATGAATGTACTATATTTTAGTTTGATAATGTTTTTTATTTAATATTTTGGATTTTTAGGGGATTTTATGGAACTGAATTATATTTATGCTGTATTTATAATCCATTTATTCACTTTTTGAGCATAGACCTGAAAATAAATGTCCAACTTAAACTGTGGTAAATCTCGAATGCTTTAGAGCAACAGACTGAAGTTTGATCTCTTTATAAAGACGACACTTGGCAGATTATTACCGACGTGAAGAAAGTTGTAAAAAGTTACTGAATTTTACGTTTATTGTTATGGAAAATGCACAAAAATACTATTTAAAATTTTTATATGAAATGTATATTTTCAAAAACATGTTTTTACTATAAAACTGTGAGAAAAATCAACGCCATAAATCAAAGCCAAGTTGTGTTCCAAATTTGAGGTTGAGATATCTCAAAAAAATCGAATTCGTCTCTTATTAATTTCCAATGCGCTCATTTTTGAAGTGTGAAGATTTTTTTCAGGACCATTTTACCCTCTCGAAACATGTCCAGGACTTTCTGTGTGTTAACATAAACCTTTACCAAGTTTCGTACCATTCCAATGAAGTAAAACATAAAAAATGTACTTTTTCGGTTAAAAATGAAGGGCAATGAGTCCAGATCAGTGTGAGGTCATACTGACTCCTGCCTGTGTGATCATGTTATAACTCAGTGTGTGTGTGTCTGTAGTCGGACGCCCCATCCCTGTGACTCAGACTCCGTGTCCCAATAAAGACGACATTGACACTCTTCACTCTCTCTACATGAAGGTGAATCAAATGCACATTTCCACAGATGCTTTATGATTTTACAATCTTTAATATGCATCTTTTCCAACATGTGTTTCTGTGTTTGTAGGGTCTGACGCAACTGTTTGAAGAGAATAAGCAAAACTACGGCATCCCAGAAGACAAACATCTCAACTTCATTTGACCTGTGTTTTACTGATATTAAATTCTCAATGCTGCTGATGATGAGGATGAGGATGCAAGAAACTAAAGTTACACTACAAAAAGACAATACTAACTTTAAAAAAATCCTGTCACGGATTATTATCACAATCATCATGACTGATTTTGTTGCACTGTTTGTGGTTTCATCAGGATCAGAATGAACATATTCTTGCATGCTAATGGTCGATTTCTGAATCTTTGCAACACATGGAAGTAAATGCATTTGCTATATAGTTAAGCAATAAGACGAGAAGGGTTTTGTTGTGCAGTGAATGTAGCAGTGTAACACCGAAATGTGAGTATATTCATAAAATAACACAACCTAGTGATTTAATACTATTATTAAATATTACTACCTATTCAAAATATTAAGGATATCATTATTACAATGTTTTTAACATCTAGTCCTGACAGAACAGAACGTGGTTTTGCAAATAAAATCGTGATGCAAATTAGAGTTGAACAGATGTGTTCATGACATAACTATTGCTGTATATTGTCAATGTATTGAAAGATATCTGTTTTATGATGTTTATTAACACTTTGGGCTCTTGTAAATCTTCTACATCTTGGCTCTATTGTTCTCACATTTGTTTTTAATCAGGAAATGTGAATTGATTGAATGGGGACATATGTTACTGTACGAAAATAGGAAAACAAATAAATCGGTACTTTTTATAATAGGATCTGTTTAATTGTATTATTTATTTTTTTAATCATTTCTTCAATTGCCTTCTTACTTGAAATAGTCGGTAGGTGGCAATGCGAACCTACATTTCTTAAACTTGATTTCGTTTTATTTTGCTCACCGATTCAAACGTATTTTGAGGCTTTCTTTGAGTTATATTTTTGTAAAGTCTAATGGTCTGTGCTTTGACTACTGTTAAATTCTCCTGCTTAAAATAAGTGAATTGTAAGCGTGTGTGTCGAAATTATGAATCGTACTAAAGCGAAGGCGAATCTCATGAATATTAACTCGGTCGCTGATTGGTTGAGTCCAGCCGCGTAGCCTCATTAATATTAATGAGCAATGCCTTCCTCATAGTAGGATCCTGTCGCAGGAACGGAGGCGGAACTTCCGGGTGATGGAAAGTTGTCAACAGTTTCGTTGGAGGAGAATTAATCTGTAAATCTGAGTTCATTAGTGTCGCTTTAAAGCAAATCCACTCCTGAACTCAACAAGAGAACCGAAGCTGCGGGATTTCTGCGACTGAACCGAGAGATCCGGAGGAGTTTGTGTGACTCGTAATTTACTTTATTAGGGGTGGATCTGATGCAAACTGATGGAGAATAAACAAACTGTTCGGGTGTGGATGATCAATCTGAATCAGTCTCCTTGACTCTAAAGGGATTTTTTTATTCTCTTTCTGATTTTAGTTTAACGGAATATTTTCTCCTCCTCCAGGGATTTTAGGTGTGGACGCAACATGTGAGCTGTCTCTAGTGTGTTTAAGTTCACAAAATCTCTACAATTTGACTTCTTCATGGGATTACAGAATGCCTCTGTCTTAAATTCGGTCCTAATTCACATTTCTATTGGGCTCAGGTTAAATCCAGATCCAGAAATCTGTCCTGCACAGCTTTCCTCTATTGTAATGTGTCTTTTTGACATCGAACTGCTCTGATTCTTGTCTTATATTGAGCTGATGCGGGTTAGTTTAGTGTAAGTAAATGCCAGGTTTTGGGCTGCAACAGTGTTGTGCAATGCTTCTGTTTCTGTGCGCACGTATGCGGGTATTTGCTTAAGGGGATAGAGGAGCGCGCGTGCATGTGCTTGTTCTGTGACGTCATTTCTACTCCGAATCAGTGATTCCAATTTTAATTCGAATCAACCCCATGCAGCCCGAAATGTAATATTTATAGTTTATCAATTTTACTCTTAAAGTTGCTCAGAGTATCGGCATCGTTTGAGTTTTAATGTGCGGGACATCGGGAGTTTGGCACCCATTTGTACTTAAAGATTAAAAGCTTGCACCACCTTTAAATCATGTAGACAGAACTGTAACATGTAGAGTTTGATTCTATGTTTTATACTTACAGGTTGCTGAGTGTTTTGAGCTTTTACACAAAGTTGTTGAACTTGCTCCAGTTTTAATTTAAGGTTTAAAAGCGTGATAATTCAAATCAAATGTGAGTTTTCGAGTTTCTATTCAAGTTTTACTCTTAATGTTGGTAATTGTTTACGCTAGTTCTAATTTTAAGTTAAATGCATGATCCACTTTTAATTCAAATCAAATGAGACTGTAAATCCGCACTTGATTGTGATTGAGTTTGATTCTTTGCAGTAGCCCCTCTTTAAAGTATTTCAAACTGTTACAAATAACTTTTCCACTTGCTCTAGTTTTAATTTGAGATGAAACGCATGGGTTCATTTCTAATTTGAATGTCACAACTGTAACATTTAAAGTTTTGAATGTTCTATTCAAGTTTGACAAGCTTCTCAACTTGCTCTAGTTTTAATCTGAAGTTAAAAGAATGATCATTTCTAATTTGAATCAAATGCACAGCCAGAATTGTTACATTTAAACTTGGATTGCATCCCAGTTTTACTCCTAAAGTTGTGTGTTTGATCTTTTTTTAAGTTAAAACCAAGATCCACTTATAATTTGAATCAAATGAGCATTCAGAACTGAAACTCCAGACACTGTGTTTGAGTTTGACTCTTTTCCAGGTTCTTCTCTTAAAGTTGCTGAGTGTTTTGTCACCAGACGCTAGCAGAAAGTTGACGGAAACAGAACTTCTTGTTTTTATAGTTACCAAACTTGTCCTGCAGAACTAAAAAAAATCATAATGTCCTGACACGCTCAGGCATTAAGCTGCAGGACATAATCATGCAAAACGCCCTAATCATGGTGTTTATTTAGCTAACATCTTTTGGAATGGGCTGTTTGATCTTGAAATAATCAAATCTGTGCATGCATGGCGATTATGAGTCTCTTTTTTGTGTCCTGAGCTGTGAACGCACACACTGCACGCCTGCCAGAGGAAACAGCCATCAGAGCCGAGACTTGCGCAACCGCTGGGCTGAGAAACTGCTCTTGTTACTGTAGTCGAAATACTCCAAACAGCCGCAGGGAGAAGGAGGAGAGATTGCCAAGCTCAATGGAATAAATGTGATTTATTGAACTTTTTCGGTTTCGACAGATTTTACCACGTACCTGTGAGTTCACCTAAGGACAAAAAATATGGTTTATCAGATCCAGATCCACCCTAGAGACTGAGTGAAAGAAAACCAGTGCTTTGGAATGGTTTGGATATCCATTTCTTAGAGAGATTCTTTCACTCTTTTCTTTCTCAGCCAGAGAAATAATGAACAACGATCGAGCTTTGAGCGCTTAAGGATAACGTTATACCGCTCGCTAACGCTCAGTCCAAGAATGAGTGGTGGAAAGAAACGGAGCGGTTTTCAAATCACCAGTGTTACATCGGATTACAATCAGGGATCTGGGGAGAACAATCTGACGGAGTTACTCAGCCCTGGGAGTCAAAGAGCCACGCCCACTTCAGCAAGAGGCCCCGCCCATGGGCGGAGCCCCAGAAGCCAGACTGCATCGCCCACTCAAATTTTATCCAATGGTCCGTTACTCCGTCATAGCTCCGCCTTCCAGACGCAACAAAGCTCTAGTCAGCCGTCGACGCCCGTCACGACTAGGAAGCAGAATTCGCTGGACTCGAGCGGGGCGTCGCGGTTTCGCGTGGTGCGTTTGGACCAGGGACCGGGAGAACCGTACAAACGCGGTCGATGGACTTGCGTAGATGTGATTGAGAGAGAGGTCGAGGAGCGAGGCCTCCGCCGAGTGATTGACAGCATGAGACACGCCCACTCGCTGGAGTCCTTGGAAACGGTGGGGCTGGGCGGGGGCGGAGTCGAAGGCGCGGTGGGTGGAGCCAGACTGAAGCCGTTGGGGGTGCACACAGGTCACATGGTACACTCGCAGGGCACCCTGTACTTGCTCAGCCAATGCCGGACAGACTCCGCCCACAGCGGCCTACCTTCCCCCTCACATGACTCGCAGCCAATCACGTCGCCACATCTGCCGAACACGCCCCGGATACGCAACATACCCGCTCCGCTGCGCCTCGACATGGACGCCGTTGGCAAGGTGAGCCCTCGCACACTCGTCTATGGGCCCTATCATACAACTGGCACGACGCAAGTGTTTTTTGCTAGTTTCTGCCCGACGCAGTTATCATTTTTCACGTCCTGCGCCACGTTTTTTAAATAGCAAATGCATTTGCGCCCATGGGCGTGCTTGGTCTGAAAACGAGGTGTGTGTTCGGACGCATTGATGACGCGTTGCTATTTTGAGGAACTGAAATAGACTGAGCCATTGACCAACAGAAACCTGATCTAAAGTCAATGGCGCAGTATTTTTTGTTATTTAAAGAGCGCGTTAGTAATGTGCACCTATAGACGCAGCAGCACACCAACATGCCAAATATTAAAAATAAAGGGATTCCAATGTAAAGGATTATTATTGTGTACGTAACCTCACAGACAAACACACACAGCTTTAACCTCGAGCACGAGCAGATCCGTTTCCTCGCTAGAGAAGCGTTCAGTTTTTCCGCTTGTAATTTCCGCCATGTAAAAAGCGAATCCGCCAACTGAGCGCAACTGGCTCTTAAAGGGAATGTGAGATGAGACTCTGATTGGTTTATTGCACGTTGCACCTAAAACACACCCATTACTCATTAAGAGAATAGAGACAACCCTTTTAGACCATGCGCCGGGACCGCCAACCATTTTTCCCGTCGTTAAACTAGCAGAAGTGGTTTCGTACACGCCCTAAGTACACTTGCGCCGTGCGTTTTTACACCAGCGCTTAGATTGTTAAAGGGATACTCCACTTTTTTTGGAAATAGGCTCATTTTACAACTCCCCAGAGTTAAACTGTGAGTTTTACCGTTTTTTGAATCCATTCAGCCGATCTCCGGTTCTGGCGGTACCACTTTTAGCATAGCTTAGCATACATCATTGAAGTGGACAAGACCATTAGCATTTCTAAAAAAAAAATGACCAAAGAGTTTCGATATTTTTCCTATTTAAAACTTGACTCTTCTGTAGTTACATCGTGCACTAAGACCGACAGGAAAATGTAAAGTTGCGATTTTCTAGGCTGATATGGCTAGGAACTTTACTCTCATTCCTGCGTAATAATCAAGACACTTTACTGCCGTACCATGAGTGCAGCAGGCGTAATGATATGACAAATAGGCCACCTTCCGTCAACACACGGAACTATTTTCAGGCGCTGCGTCATATCATTACGCCTGCTGCACTCATGGTACGGCAGTAAAGTTTCTTGATTATTACGCAGGAATGAGAGTATAGTTCCTAGCCTTATCAGCCTAGAAATCGCAACTTTACATTTTCCGTCGGTCTTAGTGCACGATGTAACTACGGAAGAGTCAAGTTTTAAATAGGAAAAATATCGAAACTCATTGGTAATATTGTTTTTGAGAAATGCTAATGGTCTTGTCCGCTTCAATGGTGTATGCTAAGCTATGCTAAAAGTGGTACCGCCAGAACCGGAGATCGGCTGAATGGATTCAAAAACGGTAAAACTCAACAGTTTAACTCTGGGGGAGTTGTAAATGAGCCTATTTCCAAAAAAAGTGGAGTATCCCTTTAATATAGGGCCCATTATTTCTAAGTGTGGTTTATTTTTAACTCAAGTGCAATTTTTTTTTTCCGCAGCTCCGGACCACCCGCTCACAAGCCGGCTTCTCCTGGGCCACACCTGGGTCGGGACAGTCCCTTCCATTCCGGACTCACGCCCATCCAGACGCCGTCCCGCCTTTGCGCTGGCGCAGGTCCCATGTTCGGCATGGGGCGAGCGTTCGAGCTCGTGGGAGACGACGGGTGAGGCCAGAGACTTCTGTCTTTAGTATGACGCCTCGGTTCTGTGTGTCACGTGTCAC